TCCCAGTCATACTCCATGCGGCCAACTGTCAGCTCGTCGTATGTTGGGTCGTTTTCTTCTTCGTCTTCGACCGACCCTTCAGGACGTTCTTGCGGCGGATCTGCGAACATGTCTTCCCAGCTGCGGAAGAAGCGGTAGTGTCGGTTCGGACGAGGTGGACCTCGTCGTACCATGCAAGTTAACACCTTGCTCTTGCCCTTGTCGGTTGTGTTCGCAGAGACGCGCGCCGGAGCTTGGGATGTGCTTGCGACGGCTGGCAGCGACACGGTCTGATTGCGTACTGAGGTCCTTCCTTGCTGGTGAGTGGCGGCTCCCCTTTGGTTGTTGTTGTTGCCGTTCAGCTTCCAGCAATCTTGAATTGTGTGTCCAGTCTTCTTGCAGTACTTGCAGAAGAGTCTCTTCTTGTCTGGTGGCGCTTGTGCGTAGAAAGCGATCTTCTCCTTCTTGTTGCCTCTCTCGTTGTACAGGTCCATTTCCTTCTGCTCGGAGAGGAGCGTTGAGCAGAGGGCGGTTTCGCTGACGGTTCCTTGAGTGCGAAGGAGCGACTTGCACTGGCGCCATTCCGAGCTCAATCCAGCGAGGATGATCGTGACGAACATGTCGTCAGGGAAGTTTCCGCCGCTTTTCCTGAACTGATCTCTCAGGTTTCTGCAGCGGTTGATGTAGGATCCGGCCTTTTCGCCGGGAAACATCTTGACACTGAGTGTCACCGAGTCTATTGCCATGTGGCAGGTGCGCAGGTGTTCCCAGGACTGTTGCGCGGGTGCCCACTCGTTCTTGAATGGGCGGATGCTCAGCTGTTCTTCAGGCGACAAGTTCCGGATCAAGACGGTGAAGGCCAGGAGAGATTCGTTGTAGTACTGCGTCTTCTCCTGAGGTGAGCCGTTGGTTGGGAAGGGATACGAACCGTCGTAATACATCCAGATCTGGGCGCCTTGAGCTAGTAGCTCGAATTCAAAGCTCCAGGTATAGAAGTCTTATCCGTCGAACGGTTTTGTTGTCCTGAGCTTTGACGTTGACAGGAACTTGCTCTGCATTGACGCCATTGTCTCGAAATGTGCCTGTTGTGTTTGAGCAGGTCCTGGAGCTCCGCGATTGTCGAAGGTGAAGGATCGTTCAGATCCAGCTCCTTGAGGATCGGGAGGTCTTCGGGCGTAGCTGGAGCCGTCAATGCTCATTGGCTGATGGCTCTCCAGTGCGCTGATGCGGGAAATCAGCTGCTCGAGGAGTGCTGTGTCCACGGTTGTTGTAGTGGAGGTAGCATTATTGGACGGATGTACTGGATTCTCTCCAGTTTCTCCGCAGTCGGCGCCTGGCATGTTGCTTGCCCTTGTAGTAAGTTATATGAAAAGTCACCTTTTGAGAAAGGCCTTTTTAGCAGTTCCTATAATCCAAACTGGCTCTCATACCATGCTAGAGTAAGGATCTTGGATAGGATAGGAAGTACGGTCCTCACGCTATTTATAATATAAACAACGGATTCTCCTAGTGTTGGTGTTGGTGAAACTGGTAAGATTTAATTAATTTATGTAGGTGAAAATTGCTAGAGTAAGGATCTTGGATAGGATAGGAAGTGCCTTGAAAAGAGTTGGTAGCGGAAGTCTTGGTAGGAACCTTGATCATAGTGAATGTAAATGACAAAGTTGGTTAATAGATAGAATACAAGCAAATAAATAGTCCTAGCTAGCCATGTACTTTAAGGGGTACATTCCCTTATTATAACTGTTTTACAGGCAGTGCTACAGTGACTCTGACTATTGCATTTCCTTTCTTGTTACCGAGTCGCTGCTTGTAACCGTGCGTACGGTTACGCCTGTTGCCATTCCTTGATAGTAGGTCAATCTTCGGTCCAGATAGTCAACAATCGCGACAGTTGACTTTTGCGACTGTTGACTTTCTTGCCCTTGATATAGGCTGATCCGACATCTGCTGCTCGCGCTACTTCGATAGTAGCTGGTGCGGTGTTGCTGCACCTTCGGAAATGCTTATGATTTCCTTCATACTCCAACAAAAATTACTTGAAAGTGCCACCTGGTAGTTAGCACTCGTTTAATAAGTGGTCTATATTTTTTCAGGTATACGACCAGATATCCAACTAGATATATGTTATTTTTTGGTAGGTGAAATAACATTATACAACGTACAACGCAAAACACCGTCGGTCGTAACCGGGCTAGAGGGCCTAGGTATAGCATACCGTACCCTCGCGGAAGCATCTAAGGTGGTTTATAAATCACTTGCCTAAAAATTGCAACCTGCCCGCTAGAGAAACCTACACTGCCACATTTCAGTTCCGTCAGAAACCCACTGTAGTTTTGCCAATTCTTCGGGTGATGGGGTTGGATTGGCGCAGCTGATGACTTCTCCATAGATCTGGGAACTTTCATGATGGAAATTGCCTACCTTCGAAGACTCTTGGCTTGTGCCACAAAGCAGCCTTGCCGAGTGTGGTGAGGATGGGTTACAATAGATGCCCTGGTTCGAAATTGGTGCTTGACAGGGCCTTGGTGACGACGACTGTGACGGATCACAGTTGCAAACGCTCGAGGAAGTTGCCTGAACTGTGTGACAGGAGCCACCCCGACTGCACGAGGAAAATTAGCAGTAGCTCCACTTCCGACCATTCTCTGACAGAAATCGTGAGGGAGATTTGCAGCCGCAGCCATCTCTTGAGTGCCTTGAGAGGTTCCATTTGAATCAAGCGTGGTCGTAGCATGGCGCCATAGATTATCGTCGTCAAGTTGCATGAAGACTTCTTGAGGGTTCTCCGTTATAGGATCTGCCAAAGTACCCCATCCAGCTCTTGTGAAGTTCGTAGTGTCGGCAGCATCAGCTTCCTCCCCCTCATGGCAATCCCGAGGTATGTTAGAAATAGTGACTTCTCCTTCTGTCGCTTCAGCCATGCAAAAAATATGCAGTTCTTCGCACTCTGTTCGTGTAGAGTTGGTGGAACTTGACTCTGAGATAGACCTTCAATTATGCGTCACCGTAAGCTGCCGTGACGAGCGTAGATTTACACCACCAGGGTCCTCTTTGTAAGGAGCATATAGTTGTAGTTGGAGAGTTCTTGCTTGAGTCGATGTTCTGGTTCCTGCTTTTGATTGTAGTTCAATGGTAGAGAAGGCCGATAATCTGAAGACGTTCCGTTGCAATGCTTCCTTGTACTTGTATTTCCAGCGTTGCCGTACACCTGTCTTTATTTTCTGATGCCATCTTGGATGTCTGGAAACTTGTGTGCAGTTTATGATCTGAAAAACAGGATTCTGCAGGAGCAGTAACGACGATCCAATGTTCGCTGTATGAACATAAAGTTGGCGACTAGATATATGTAGATCAAGGGGTATGTTACTGATCCGCTTTAAAATGACTTTTGTTTCTGTGGTGTTGCATACCCGCTCGTGCATCCCCCACCTACGGTTGCAATAATTCGTTTCATTCGCTCCGCGGGAGGAAAATTGCAACCGCAAGCCGCGCAATTCCAAGTCACCCCGTGGGAGGGGAAAGCAACCGCGAGCTGCGCGAATGCAATAATTCACTTCCGCGTGTGAGTCTGTCACACACGGCAAGATCGTAGAATTGCATTATAATTCAATTTGCTCCAATCCGATTGCTTCACTCATGCTCCCACCATAATTCACCAGCCAGAGCGACAATACAGTAGGCCTGACGATTGACGGGCATATGCCCTTAATGCCCTGACATTAAGGGCTAGTTTCGCTCCAGCTCCAATGCGTCAAGTTTTAGATTCGCACCCCACCCGTGCCACTAAGTGCTTCGTTCGACCCTTCCCCGGATGCGTTAAGGGACGAAACCAGGCCTTCCCCTTTATCTAAGTTTTGGTTTCCGATCGTAGGACCCCCCACTCCCCCAGGGTGCCTGAGACACCCCCCCACCCCCCTCTTTCTCCTTAGTCTGCACGAGAGCGCGCGGAGGGGATTTTTTCCTTGGCGTTTTCTAGCCAATCTCGTGTGTGTAGTGTGTCTTAGTCAACCTTGGAGCACCCGAACAATCCCTTAGCGTACAATACGAGCTGGCCGCAGTTTACAGCAGTGACACATAGGATTAGGTTTGCTGAATTTGGCTATTGGACACAGAGAACTCCAACACACTTAACCAAAGCACGTCAAAGGAACTGAAGCACTCTGGCGTAGCAGCTCCCTCACTTAACCAAATACAGTGTGTGCAAACTTCGCACATGCCCGGATTTCAAGTTTTCACTTTGGGGTGCGCCCGTGCCCGTTAAGGGCGCCAAAACGCTCACCTACACCCAACCAAGGGTCAGATGGGGAGGAGCTGGGGAGCGCAAGTACGAGCCCCAGAAACTTTGACAGGCCTGCAATACAGGCGACTGCTGGGTCCGTTAGGCGACTGCTGCGCCTGTTGCGACACTACAGGCGACTGCTGGGTCGGTCTCCCTGTTTCTGGCCGACCCATCAATAACTCTGAAATGAAGCCAACAGATCCCGTTCCTTGTAGCGCCTCGTACTGGGCTATCACAGCCTCTAGCGATGGGGGAGCGGCGGAACTGCTTGCGGAACGCGCAGATGTTCCGCGCCCTCAGCTTTTGCTGGCGATTGGGGGAGCGCCCGAACTCCCTCTATACGACCCGCCAGAGCATTTCCTCCCGCCACTTCTGCGCTATCCTCGTGCCATATGTTGATAGCAACGCCAGCAGCTACAGTACTATCCCTCCAGCTATATCACGAGCTAGTATAGCACACTACTAGCATCGAGCTATATCATTGCAGTTTTTGAGAATTCTTAAAATCCAGCAATTTAGAGCCATCTTCTCTGACAATGGGACGCTCATTGCGCCACTCATTGCTCGTGCGGCGTCACCTCAGAGACCGTCCACGGAGGCTCGAGTGCGGTTGCAAGGCCCTTGAGTGACGGGCACTCTCAGTGTGTGCCGTACTCCACACTGGCAACGGCGCGCTGCACAACAACTTCCTCATCTGACGTGGCAGCTTGACCCCACCTGACGTGGCAGCTTCACCGCCATGGCCGCCTCTCCTGGCGCGCTACCTCCGCTCCTCGTCCTTGCCATCATCTGCGGTGAGTCGCTCTCTCTCCTCCTCATCATCTGCGGTGAGTCGCTCTCTCTCCTCCTCATCATCTGCGGTGAGTCGCTCTCTCTCCTCCTCATCATATGCGGTGAGTCGCTCTCTCTCCTCCTCATCATCTGCGGTGAGTCGCTCTCTCTCCTCCTCATCATCTGCGGTGAGTCGCTCTCTCTCCTCCTCATCATCTGCGGTGAGTCGCTCTCTCTCCTCCTCATCATCTGCGGTGAGTCGCTCTCTCTCCTCCTCATCATCTGCGGTGAGTCGCTCTCTCTCCTCCTCATCATCTGCGGTGAGTCGCTCTCTCTCCTCCTCATCATCTGCGGTGAGTCGCTCTCTCTCCTCCTCATCATCTGCGGTGAGTCGCTCTCTCTCCTCCTCATCATCTGCGGTGAGTCGCTCTCTCTCCTCCTCATCATCTGCGGTGTGTTCATTGTCTCTCCTTGTCGTTCCCGAGGGGCTCTTCAGTCTGTGTGTTTGTTCCTCATGGCCTCCCAAGGAGGTACATAACTCTTCTCTAGACCGCAACAGGGGGTGCTTTACAGGCGCGGCGGATGCCCCAGGCGCACAGCGCACAGGCGCACCTCCAAAACAAATGACAAGACATTTGAGGCGCCTCAGAAGGCGTTGCTGCATCTGAGAAGCACGCACATTCTGCCCCTCCTCCTCCCACCCCTCCGCTCCCTCTCATCCCTCTGCCCCCTCTCACCCCTCTCCTCCCTCTCACCCGTCTCCTCCCTCCCACCCCTCCGCTCCCTCTCATCCCTCTGCCCCCTCTCACCCCTCTCCTCCCTCTCACCCCTCTCCTCCCTCTCACCCCTCTCCTCCCTCTCACCCCTCTCCTCCCTCCAACCCCTCCGCTCCCTCCCACCCCTCCGCTCCCTCTCACCATTCTCCTCCCTCTCACCACTCTGCCCCCTCTCACCCCTCTGCTACCTCTCACCCCTCTCCTCCCTCTCACCACTCTCCTCCCTCTCACCACTCTCCTCCCTCTCACCCCTCTCCTCTCTCTCACCCCTCTGCCCCTTCTCACCACTCTCCTCCCTCTCACCCCTCTCCTCCCTCTCACCACTCTCCTCCCTCTCACCCCTCTCCTCCCTCTCACCCCTCCCCCTCCCTCTCACTCCAGCCGTCGTCACGGCGCACATGGCAGCAGGCGAGCGCGCGGATCACCGGATCAACGTGGGCGTGCCGCGTGGGACTGAAGCCTCCGAAAGTGCACAGCTGAACGCCGCCATGCGAGTGCGCGCTGCGAGCGAGGCTGCCACTGCAACTGCGACTGCCAGAAGCCTCAAAAGCGTGATCACTGCGGGAACCGGGAACGGCAGCATGCGCGCCGGGGTGGGGGTGGGGGTGGGGGTCGGGGTGGGGGGGGAGGGCGGGGTGGGGATGGAGGGCGGGGCGGTGGAGGCGAGTGTGCACGTGGCAACGCAGATCGCGGTGCCGGGCGTGAGCGTCCCCATCACCTTCAACGCCCTCCGCTGCTTCAGCCTTCCCCGGGCGGCGCGCAAGGCGGCGGGTGACGTGCAGGTGTGGTGGCACGGGGTCACGGGCGGCAGCACGGGTGGCAGCACGGGCGGCAGCACGGGTGGCAGCACGGGCGGCAGCACGGGCGGCAGCACGGGCGGCAGCACGGGCGGCAGCACGGGCGGCAGCACGGGCGGCAGCACGGGCGGCAGCACGGGCGGCAGCACGGGCGGCAGCACGGGCGGCAGCACGGGCGGCAGCACGGGCGGCAGCACGGGCGGCAGCACGGGCGGCAGCACGGGCGGCAGCACGGGTGGCAGCACGGGCGGCAGCACGGGTGGCAGCACGGGCGGCGGTGGGTCGCGGGGGAAGGGTGACGGTGCGGCGTGCAGGCAGGTGCAGTTCTTTGCCAGCCCGGCCTGCAAGGGCAAGGCGCTGGATGAGGTGCTGCAGCCGCAGCTTGCCGCTCTTCGGAAATTCTTCAATGTGCCCAGGAGGGTGGGTGGGTGGGTGGGTGGGTGGGTGGGTGGGTGGGTGGGTGGGTGGGTGGGTGGGTGGGTGGGTGGGTGGGTGGGTGGGTGGGTGGGTGGGTGGGTGGGTGGGTGGGCCATGTTCATGGTCGTGGATGGAGGGCAGATGATGGATTATGGCGGGTTGTGATAGGCGGGTGATGGGAGCTGGCAAGCGAGTGTCCCATGCCCCAATCGTGAGGCACAGTCGTGAGGAACAGTCGTGAGGCACAGTCCTGAGGAACAGTCGTGAGGCACAGTCGTGAGGCACAGTCGTGAGGCACAGTCGTGAGGCACAGTCGTGAGGAACAGTCGTGAGGCACAGTCGTGAGGCACAGTCGTGAGGCACAGTCGTGAGGCACAGTCGTGAGGAACATTCGTGAGGAACATTTGTGAGGAACAGTCGTGATTTGGGTTGTGTCACCATAACATAATGATGTCCCCGTCTTATTCGAATGTGTTCTCAATGTATCATCTCAACATGCTCTCAATGTTTCATCTCAACATGTTCCTAATGTTTCATCTCAACATGCTCCTTATGACCCCTCTCGACATGTTCCTTATGTTTCATCTCAACATGTTCCTAGTGTTTCATCTCAACATGCTTCTAATGACTCATCTTAACCTGTTCCTCATGTTTCATCGTCATGTGTTCCTGCCATCCTCGCTTGCAGCTCAAAGAAGATTCCCCGATGGTCTTCAGTTTCCTACAAGACTGGTGCGTGCCTCTCCTCCTCGCCTCCTTGCCTCCTTTTCTCCTACGGTTGATGCTTGTCACCAGCCAGGCCGCATCTCTCTTTGCTTCCCCATCCTGTCAGGCGCCACCTGCCATAATGCATTGCATAATTCTTCTCACCGCATATGGTGTTAAATGCCCACATTGCACATATCTCACCTCAGATGTTCCTGTGATACCCACGTGTCTCTCTGCTATCCACGTGTCTCTCTCAACCCATGCTGCCAGACATCACCTGCCAGCACGCCACGTGTCCCAGCAACTCCACGTGCATGCCAACGAGTGACAGCAAGGGCGTCACCTGTCCATGCAACCAAGGATTCGCTGCTGTCAATGGCACTTGCCGAGGTACGCTGCTAATGACAACGTTTTGTCTCTCCTGCCCCCTCTGCTCACCTGTCTTTGCAACCCACGGCTTCACTGCAGTCAATGGCACTTGCCGAGGTACGTTGCTACTGACGCTGCCATCAATGGCACCTGCCGAGGTAAGCTGTTACCCAGTGACGATGTGGTTATCTGGTCACTGGTAAGTGAAAAACCCCGACAGCAATACCTGTGATGTTGCAGGAAAGTGAGAGGCGCACTATTGTTTGCACATTCTCTCTTTTTATCCGACCCACGCTTTTTGTTGTACACCCCATGGTTATCACACCTTTTACTGTACCCTTTTCCTTGCAGCCTTGTGTACTGCGGTGAATTGCGCTTGGTAGCAATTGCATGAAACTTGGCCTCCCCTCAACTCCATATTCCTGCAGACTTGTGTGATGCGGTGAATTGTGGGGCTGGTGGCAACTGCACGAGGGATGCGAATGGAAAGCCATCCTGCAGTTGCAACACGGGTTTTAAGCCATCTTCTGACGGGCTATCTTGCATTGGTGAGTTGGGGAGTGCGATACAGAGCACATTCACTGCATTCCAAACCCGGTCCTTGAAACTTGGCCTCCCCTCAACTCTCTTGCAGCAGTCACTGGATTGCGTGCATGTCCAGCCCAGTGACCCTTGATTCTCAGTATCCCAATATTATTGTTTCCTGGTGTGTTAACGTCCTTCAACTATCCTGGGTTCCGTTTCTTACAGACTTGTGTGATGATGTCAAGTGTGGGCCTGGAGGCAACTGCACCAAGGATGCAAACAGAAAGCCATTTTGCAGTTGCAATGTGGGCTTCAAGCCGTCTAACGATATGCTCTCTTGTATTGGTGAGTTGGAGAAGAATTCAACACAGAGGGGATTCTTGAGTCTGCTCAAAAGTCGTCCTGACGGGCTCTCTTGCATTGGTGAGTAGGAGGTTTGAAATATAGAGCGTGTTCTCTGCGTTGCAAACCCTAGGTAATCGGCCTCCCTCCAGTAAAATAAATAATTATATTTTTTTTTCATGCATATAAACTCTACGACCTTGACTATCACCACTTAATTCTTTACTGTTTTCTAATATGATGCTAAGTTTTCACTTGCCAGGGGTCTCGTTGCCTGCAGACAACTGTGCTGCAGTGAATTGCGGTGCCAATGGCAAGTGTGTGAGGAAGGACAACGGCGATCCCACCTGCGAGTGCGACTCGGGCTTCTGGATGCCTCCGAACGAACTGCGTTGCGTTGGTGAGTTGCTGCAGTGGTCTCGCCTGGAGGGTGGAGATTCGGTGTACCTATTTTCAACTTCTTTCTTGGATTGCTATCACGAATTAATGAGTTGCGATCATGCATTACTGTGTTGCTATCATGCATGATTGAGTTGCGATCATGCATGACTGTGTTGCTATCATGCATGCTTGAGTTGCTATCATGCATGATTGAGTTGTTATCAATCACGTGCCCATGCAACCAGGCCTTTGTTGCAATTGATGGCACTTGCCTAGCTTCTCTGCTTTTTTTTTTTTTTTTTTTTTGGAGAAAATAAACACACGTCATGCATATCCGACTCTGCGACGTTTGAATATCAGCATTTCAAACTGATTGCTTTCTAATAAGATGCTGTCTTCTCATTTGCCCGGGTCTCTATGCCTGCAGACAACTGTGCTGCAGTGGATTGCGGTGCCAATGGCAAGTGTGTGAGGAAGGACAACGGCGATCCCACCTGCGAGTGCAACTCGGGCTTCGAGATGCCTCCAAACAAACTTCGTTACGTTGGTGAGTTGCTGCAGTGGTCTCGCCTGGAGGGTGGAGATTCGGTGTACCTATTTGCAACTTCTTTCTTTAGCTGCTTTCTTGTGTGTTCCACCTCTCTTTCCCTCTTCTTTCAAGCATCATCCGTGTTGTTGTCTTTTCCCCCTTCTTCCACCCCATTCTTCCGTGCACTCCCATCAGACATGGCTTGCTACGTGTTGGGTTGCGAGCCAGATGGGGTTTGTGTGAACAGCACCGAAGGGATCCGCTCTTGCAAATGGGGTAAGCATGGTGATTTTTAGCTTTCTGCGCCCCCAACCCAGCCCATCCACACTCTCTACTAGCTCTATCATTTGCTGCAGTCAACTAAAATAAAGCATTTTCTCATTTCGCAATCTCTCTGCCGTATCGTGCGTCCCCCTTGTTGCTGTGCATCTCCCTGGTTGCTGGGTTACTCAGAGTCACCGTGCGGCTCATGCCCCTTGGGGGCCACGTGCAAGACCGCCCATACAAGTCGCCATGAAGAGGCGGACGTGCCATACTGCGAGTGCCCTCCCAACTATGGCATGACCGCAACAGGATGCATTGAGAGTAAGATTCAAGAGTGCCCTGCCTGCTTTGTACCCTTCGTACCCTTCGTACCTTCATACCCTTGGTACCCTTCATACCCTTCAATGGCTGCATTCTCCTGGCTCTGTGTATGATGAGGGCTGATGAGGTGGGGTAGCGTGGTGGTGGATCAGGAAAGCTGAGAGCTTCGAGATGTCTCGTTATCTCGAGACGACTGTCGGGGTGAAGTAACTGCCATGCTGCAAATCAATATTTTTAGCCATAATGCAGATTAACGATTTCTTCAACTTGGAGTGTAACGGTAACTCTAACATGCAGCAGTCAACTTGGGCGCGTGTCAAGTCGTTCTCTCTCCCATCCTTTGCTCCACATTTCCCTGCTGCTTGTGCCATCCATTCTCAGACGCAACTGACGAAGTGGTTGCGAGCAGTTGGACACTCATCAAGGATCGGAATGCCAAAGGCAGGGCGTCCAAGCCCTACACCTTCCGCTTGAAAAGAGGATGCAATCTGATCCCAGAGGAGTACGCTGGGAACTTCAGATACCTGATTAATACGGTAGCGAAATTTCGATTTTCAAGCGAGTCAGCACCCATTTTCGCTTTGTTTGACTTTCGAGGTCCAGACTGGTTGCGTGCGCGTCCAGTCAGGATGAGCTGGCACGCAAGCAAATTGACGTGCCAAAGCTCTGTGCAGCGTCAGAGAAGCGCCCACGCGCGATTCTGTTTCAGGACTCTCTAAAATTCTGATTCGATTGAAATTTCGAGATTGAAATGTACAATTTTGTGCGTTTAAGTTGTATTTCTGTATTTGCCATGATATAAGCGCCGGCGCTTATGGCCGTGATTCAATTACAAGCGCCCCCCCAAAAAAAAAACCGATTTTATTATAAGCGCAGATGCGCCTATATCCGGGGTAATACGGTAGGTCGCCTCCTAGGATCGACACTTGACCTAAAACGCCTTAGCCCGCGCCACGACAACGCCCACGCCAGCGTACCCTCCCATAGGCCTGCCCGTCGCTCGCGCCTCCCGTAGGCCTGCCCGTCGCCCCGCCGTCCAGCCCGCAGGCCCGCGCGTCGCGTCGCCCGTAGGCCCGCGCGTCGCGCCTCCCGTAGGCCTGCCCGTCGCCCCGCCGTCCAGCCCGCAGGCCCGCGCGTCGCGTCGCCCGTAGGCCTGCGCGTCGCGCCGCCTGCAGGCCCGCCTGTCGACCCGCCGTCCAGCCCGCAGGCCCGCGCGTCGCGTCGCTCGTAGGCCTGCGCGTCGTGCCGCCTGCAGGCCCGTCCGTCGACCCGCCGTCCAGCCCGTAGGCCTGCACGCCGCGCCGCCCATAGGCCAGCCCGCCGCGCCGCCCTCCAGTCCACTAGCTGAGCAGCCCTCCTGTCCACATGCTATGCCTCCTCCTCGCCTGCACGCCTGCGAGCTTACATCCTCGCTACTGACTGTCCCCCCCCCCTCCCGCGGCTGGCAGCCGCGCTCTCTCAGTCTCGCCCTCTATGGCGACCTCCCGAGTACTTCGTTTCGACCCTGAAGGGCGACCTATAGATTTTAGCACGTGGCTTACGCAGGCGCAGCGCCACCTTAAGAGCCAGCGGCAGGATGGCGTGCACTTGTTCGCACACGCATCCGGTACTCAGACCGCTCCCCAGCAGCCTAGCCCGCTGCCCACTACCCCACCGCCTACTCCTGAGCAGGAGGCCGAGTACCAGCGCCAGCTCCTCGCTCGCGACGTGTGGGAGTCTCGTGACGCCGCTGCCTGCCTCGCCCTGACCGACCTTCTCCCGCCGACAGAGGCAGTCCACTTCGCTCAGGTCGAGTCTGCTGCAGATCTGTATAAGGCTATTGTTGCTCGCTACTCTACTCCCTCCTCTGCGTCGCTCAGTCGCCTCCTCGTACCCTTTATCTACCCTGACCTCGCCTCCTTTGAGACTGTCTCTGACCTCGCTACTCACCTGCGCTCCCTTGACGCTCGCTTTCGCGCTGCTTGCACTGAGGACCAGCTTGCCCTTGCCCCGCCCCCTATGTGGCTCACTATTCACTGGCTAGTCACTCGCCTCCCTGACCGCCTAGCCACAGCCCGCGACGCGCTTCTTCTGAAGCACCCCACTGAGCTTACAATCGATCTTCTTGAGACCGCTCTCTCGAAGATCGAGAGTAACCTCCTCACCGTTGCCTCTGCCTCTTCCGCGCCTCCTCCTCGTCTTTTTGAGGGGTGTGCGGTACCACAGCTTCCCACCTTCTCTGCCTCCCTTGCCACTCCCACGTCTTCTGCCTCTGAGGAGACGGCGGCTGTTTCTGTCTCTGGCGGACAGAAACGTGGCAAGGCCGGCAAGAAGGGCGGGAAGGGCGGCGGGGGTACTGGAGGTGGTGCGGGTAGTGGCGGTGGCGGTGGAGCAGGTGGTGGGAGTGGTGGTGGGGGTGGCTCGGGACCTGACGGCCCTCCTTTCGACGGTGGAGTTTTCACTGGTGGTGAGGGGTTCCAGCAGCAGCAGCAGCCGACTCCTCAGCAGCTGCCACCGCAGGGACAGCAGCAGCAGCAGCGACAGGGCCAGCAGCAGCGCCTACCGCAGCAGCAGCCTCAGCAGTGGGGCCCTCCGCAGCAGTGGGGCCCTCCGCAGCAGTGGAGGTCTGCGGGTCCCCCGAGCACTGGGCGCGGTGGCGCCCCCTCCAGTCGGGGACCTCGCGCGGCCGGCCGCGACGTTGGTCCCTGTGAGTACTGGATCCTTACGGGTCCTCGTAGGGACACGTACTGTGGCCGCCCCGACCACTCTGCTGCACGCTGCTTCAGTCGTCTCGACGACCTCTACCGCTTGCACCACGGCCCCTCCGCTCCCCCGCCGCCACGCTGGGGGACGCTGCTTGCTCGTGGTATTGCTGTTTTTGATATGACTATGGATGATGCTAGGTCTTATGCCATGTATGCTGATGTTGACTATAGTGCTCCTGGATCTGTGTACTTGCCTGTACCTAGCTTAGGATCTTTGCCTGTTGCTAGAGTAGGTGCTAGTGTAGGATCTTGCTTAGCTACTAGTACAGGTACTCCCTCGGCGGACGCGTCTCTCTCCTTCACACTGGACTCGGGAGCGTCGCACTGCTTCTTCCGCGACTGCACGACTCTCTCTCCGCTACCGGCGCCTGTCCCTGTAGCATTGGCTGATCCCTCCTCGGGACCGGTCATTGCGACTCACGCCACTACTCTCCCGTGCCCAGCTGCTCCTTCTGGTTCCCTGACCGGCCTCCACGTTCCTACGTTCTCTAGGAACCTGGTTGGTGTGGGCACCTTGGCGAGACAGCACGTCGGTGTCTGGGTTGAGCCTTCTGGTGACACCGCAGTCTGCGTCGACGGTGACACGTACGCCCCCTTGGCCACTTTCCGCCAGGAGCCGGGCTCTGGTCTGTACACCCTCCGCACCGACCCCCGTCAGGTTCCCCCGTCCCACCAGGTAGCCGGGTCCAGTCAGGTTGCTGTGTCAGGTGTAGTTGCTGCGTCGTGCTCGTGTCGGTCGCTTGCCCACCCCACCGTTCTGTGGCACCACCGGATGGGGCACCCGTCCCTTCCTCGTCTGCGCGCCATGTCCAGTCAGCGTCTTGTCTTAGGCCTCCCCCGAGTCCTCCCGCCACTCCCGCCGTCCCCAGCTCCTCCGTGCGGTCCTTGTGTCCAGGGTCGGCTTCGCGCCACCCCTCACTCCTCCTCCCTTCGTCCAGCCACCGAGCCCTTCCAGACACTCCACTTAGACGTCTGGGGCCCCGCCTCCCGCCTTGGCCCTGAGCGGGAGAGTTTCTTTCTGGTGGTCGTTGACGATTACTCTCGGTACACCACCGTGTTCCCTTTGGCGAAGAAGTCCGACGTGACTTCTACGCTGAGGCTACCTCGCCACCGAGGGCACTCGTGGTCGTCGTGTCAGTTGTCTCCACTCCGACCGTGGGGGTGAGTTTCGCTCCGGCATTCTCGCCAGATTCTGTGCTGAGCAGAATGGGGTTGCTGAGCGCCGCTTAGGCCTGGTCATGGAGATCGCCCGCACCTCCATGATCCACGCCCGCGCCCCCCATTTTCTGTGGCCCTACGCGGCTCGGTACGCCGCTCACCAGCTGAACGTCTGGCCTCGCGTCTCTTGGCCAGGGGCTTCACCGACCAGTCTTTGGACAGGGTCCCCTGGTGTTGCGTCGAGGTTTAGTGTCTGGGGCTGCTTGGCTCTTGTCCGCGACACCTCTGCGGACAAGATCTCGCCTCGCGCTGTCCCCTGTGTCTTCCTTGGTTTCCCAGAGGGCTCCTCTGACTTCACCTTTTACCACCCACCCTCCCACCGGTTCTTTGACTCTCGTGACGTCCGTTTCGACGAGTCCGTCCCCTACTACGTCAGGTACCCCTCTCGAGGTCTCCCGGTTCCCCCCCCTCCCCTCTTCCTGGCTCCAGCTCCTCCTCCTCCCGCCCCTGCTCCTCCGGTACCCCCCCCTGTTCCCGCTCCGTCTGGTGTGTCTCACGCTACTCCCCCTCCCTCGGTACCCCCCCAGGTCTCTCCTCCTTCCCCACAGTCGTCCTCACCGCCTCCGCAGCAGCCGTCGGCGCTTCCTTCACCGGCCACTGCGGACTCTGAGGGTGTTGGTGCTCGAGGTGAGGGCTCTGGCGGTGCTCGCTCTGGGGGTGCTGGCGTTGGAGCTGTTCGTGCACCTACAGGAGCGGCCAGTTCTGGGGGTGCTGGCACTGGCGCTGAGCGTGCACCTGCCGCAGCTGCCCGTTCCGAGGGTACTGGAGCTGGTGGTGGTGCTGGAGCTGGTGGTGTTTCTGGAGCTGGAGAGTCTGGGGCTGGTGCTGGTGCTACTGGGGGCACCACGCCTGGGGGTGCGGGTACACCTCCTGCAGGTGCAGGTCGTGCTGCCGCGGGGGGTACTCGCTCTGGGGGTGCTCAGCCGGGTGCTGTCGAGGGCGGAGCAGGTTCTTCTTCGTCGTCTCCTCACGCTACTCCTCCTCCTCACCCTTACCCGACTCGCCACCAGGCCCGTCTTCGTCTTGAGCGTGAGGAGCAGCAGCGTTTGGAGCGTGAGAGGTTGGAGCTTCAGCAGCGGGTGGAGAGTGAGAGGTTGGAGTTGCAGCGGGAGCAGCAGCAGCAGCAGCAGCAGCAGCAGCAGCAGCAGCAGCAGCAGCAGCAGCAGCAGCAGCAGCAGCAGCAGTAGCCGCAGCAGCCTCCGCCCCCTGTTTCTGGCCTTCGGGCCCTTGGTCTCCCCTCCTCTCCTCCTGTGTTCGGTCCTACGTTTCCTCCTCCGGACTCCACTCCGGCTGTCTTCCCTCGTTCTCTGTCTCCTCCGTCCCCCCCTCCTCTCGCCCACACTTGGGCCTCTCGTCCTCCTCGTGCTCGTCCCTCGTCCCCTGTCACTGACCTCCGTACCGTGTTGTTTCGTCCTAGTCCTCCTCGTTCTCCTCCGTCTGTCCTTCCTCGTCCTCCTGAGTCTTCCCTCACTGCCTCCCTGTCCACTCCGGTCACTGACTACTACCGCACGTACCGCCCCACTCTCTCTCGTGTTCTCGCCTCTCTTGTTACAGACCCTCGTGCCTCCCCTTCCTCCGTCGCGGTCCTCACTGCCGCTGTCACTGACTTTACTGCTACGCGTCGCCTTGACTACGCCACTCGTGTTGTGGCCGCTCCTCCTGTCCGTCCTCTGTCCGCCGGGGGTGAGTCTGCCCTTGGCTGTGACGTCCTAGAGGACAGACAGTTTGAGCTAGAGTTCCTGGCAGCTGCTTCGCCTCATCTCTGTGCCATGCTGCTCACTCCTGAGGGAGACCCCGACGCTCCTGACATACCTACTCCTCGCACTTACGCTGAGGCAGTGTCAGGGCCTTGGGCCTCTCAGTGGAGAGCTGCCATGGACGCAGAGATGGCCTCCTACAGGTCCACAGGCACTTACGTTGACGAGGTTCCCCCCCCAGGGGCGAACATCGTTGACGGCATGTGGATCTTCAAGGTGAAGCGGCCGCCGGGATCTCCCCCAGTCTTCAAGGCATGCTACGTGGCTAGAGGTTTCAGTCAGCATGAGGGAGTTGACTTCTTTCAGACCTTCGCGCCCACCCCGAAGATGACCACTCTTCGGGTGTTACTGCACGTAGCAGCGCAGAGAGACTACGAGCTACACTCTCTTGACTTCTCCACTGCCTTCCTCCAGGGCCGCCTACACGAGGAGATCTGGCTGCGTCGTCCTCCGGGCTTCACTGGCACTTTCCCGCCTGGGACCCAGTGGAGCCTCAGACGACCGGTCTACGGTCTCCGCCAGGCACCCCGTGAGTGGCACGACACTCTCCGCTCTACTCTGTCCGACCTTGGGTTTGAGCCGTCTTCCGCCGACCCGTCGCTGTTTGTTCGTCGTGGGCGCACACCTTTCTTCGTTCTGGTCTACGTTGACGACTTGGTTTTTGCCACAGCCGACACAGCTGCACTGGCAGAGGTGAAGTCCGAACTGCAGAAGAGACACACCTGCACTGACCTTGGGGAACTGCGCCGCTACCTTGGCCTGCAGATCTCCAGGGACAGAGCCGCTCGCACCATCACTCTGACTCAGTCACACATGGTGCAGCAGGTCCTTCAGCGGTTCGGGCTTCAGGACTCCTCTCCTACACCCACTCCTCTTGCTGTAGACCACAGACTCACTGGGCCTTTTCCTGACGAGCCGTTCGAGCCCAGTGGTCCCTACGCAGAGCTGGTGGGCTGCCTCATGTACCTGATGACGTGCACTCGCCCGGACCTCGCCTTCCCTCTTAGCATCCTGTCTCGCTTTGTTGCGACTGGGAGACACCGTCCTGTTCACTGGGCGGCGGCTAAGAGGGTGGCGAAGTACCTTGGCGCGACATCAGGCATGGGGCTTGTACTTGGAGGGACACAGCCAGTTGTACTCACCGGTCACTGCGACTCCTCCTACGCCGACGACGTTGAGACTCAGAGGTCTACGCAGGGTTACTGTTTCAGCCTGGGTTCTGGAGCTGTTTCGTGGAGGTCTACTCGGTCCTCCTCGGTTGCGACTTCTACCGCAGAGGCCGAGATCTACGCTGGGGCCCTTGCTGCTCAGGAGCTACGCTGGTTGACCTTTTTGCTCACTGACCTTGGTGAGCGGCCGAGCTCTGCACCGACCCTGTTTTTGACAACAGGGCGATGATTCTCCTGTGTCGTGAGCCTCGACTGGAGAGCAGAGTGAAGCACATCGACGTCAGGTACTTCCTCCTTCGAGAGTTGCAGAGACGCGGGCAGGCTCGTCTGGACTTCGTGGCCTCCGAGGCCAACACTGCAGACATCTTCACCAAGGCTCTTCAGCCTTGTGACCACCGCCGGTTCTGTCTGCAGTTGGGCCTCGTTGAGACTGGGTCGAGTAGACTGCAGTAGTGAGTGCTTGTCTCTTGTCTTTGCTTGTACAGTATATATCTGCATATACACTCTTGAACTGGCCTTGTGGCCGCTGTTTGCGCTCAGACTGTGTGGTGACGTTGTGATCCACCCTGAGCTTTGTTTTGTCTTTTGTTTGTGACTGGTCTTGTGACCTTAGGTTGCGTTTCTTGTTGCTTGGCATTCCCCACTTAGGCTATGGGGGTGTGTCAAATGTTATACCCTGTTGTGGGTCATGCTATATGGGGTACAAGCAGTTAGGGTTAGGCATATGTACCCCAACCCAATCAATCCTACCATTTCGCTGTTTTCACTTACTGTGACTTGACACTGTATGATCCCTCCAACCCCACTAGAGACCTTCATTTGTAGGGAAAGCAATGAAAATTGGTCTTTTTCCATGTCCATTAAGGAAACTTCACAACCAAGCGCACATGCAGAGGCATATCATCATAATCCTCATCCTATCCAACAACCCAGGTCTCCATGTCCTCCCCGTCATTACGGCCTTCTGTCCATCATCCTCCCACCCCCCTACGACCCCCATTCACTTCCCACTCGTCTGGGCTTAGGTGTTGGAAATATGTTTGTGTGTTTTTATCTTGCAGTGCACTGTTAGAAGTGCAGAAGCGAAGCTCGCCATAGCGAGGGTTTTGACCCTGGTGGCGAGTCAACGGGGCGCAACCGAGCACAGCGGTTGCGACCCGCATGGCAGCTGAAGAGTCGGATTCTACAGGCAGCAGCGTGTACTGTACCCCGAAACAGGGCTCTCGTTATCAGACCATTTTGGTCTGATGGTCTGAATTTCAGGCATATTTTTTTATGTTCATCTGATTTTTCAATCCAAATCAGACAAAACCAATTTTTTTCCTGGGGGACTCATCTGATAAATCAGAGGCCCTCAAATCCTAGCAAGAGCCCTGCCCCGAAACCGCCCTGCAGGGCGCGGCAGAATACCGCGCCCTTGCCGAAGCTGAACAGTCGCGCCAGCGCGACTGTAACAGGGCAACCGAACCGTTACAGCGCAACTGTAATACAGTTGCGCCTTGGTAACTTCCTGCCTTGTATGATTCCTATATAACAGAATGTAATGCATGTCTCTAAGTACACAATTCCCAAGCTTGTGTCCGGCCTACCCTCGGCCGCTGCTCTGGCACCAAGTTACAAGCTAAGAGAGCTACCTCTGAGTGACCATTGCCCCGCCGTAGGGACGTCGTTAATTCCTAGAGCTTCCGCTGCGCTCTAGCGACTTCTTAATTTCAACATTAGGAACATAACATGTGTCAGGTGCAAAGTTAAGTTGGCTATGTAAATGGTTCTATCGTATGAGTAATATTTATAGGGTGAACTGACACAAAATGAGGGATTGCACTTGTTTGCCACTAACCAGCCACACAACACATCCTTTATATATATTTTATTTCATGGGACAGCAAAGGAGCACAAATGAAATACACAAGGATCCTACACGGCATATATGTACGGATTATTTTTTGAAATACACCTATTTAGTAGACAACATTTTTGTCAAACAATCTCGTCTTGCTCAAAATGTTGTGAACCCCTCTCAAGCTCTGTCTAGGGTTTCCCTGAGTACTTTGGTGCTGCTGAGCCTGAGACATGTAGGCATTGCAAGAGAGAGGTCACTGGTCAGCCGTAGAGGAGGTAGAAGAAGACAAAGAGGTAGACGGCCATGGTGAAGACGGCTGATATGTGCTGGAAGAGTTGACCTTTGAGCCCACTCAACAGTCAGCCGTAGAGGAGGTAGAAGAAGACGAAGAGGTAGACAGCCATGGTGAAGACGGCTGATATGTGCTGAAAGAAGAGCACCGCTGATACCTCCTGCTCCCCAAACCCCCTTAGGCTGCACGCCGTGCCTGCATGCCAAAAACACAGGGTCTTCAAAAGTAAGCTAGATGTGAAGGTTGCACAGGGACACAAGCATGACATGAGCAGCTATGGTTCAGCATGCCTCTGTGCATGCGGCCTCGGCACACCCCGGCACAGCACACCCATCCTCTTGCACCTATTTGAATCGAATGGACGATGGAATGGCATGCTGCAGCAGCACACCCGTTACAGGAACACCAATAAGTCAGCATTCATGGCATCATGCACCCTTGGCACACGCCGGCACACCCATCCTCTCACACCCATTCTCTCACACCTATTTGGATGGAGGAGGGCATGGCATGTTGCAGCAGCAGCACGAATCGGAACATCTTGTCGCCAGGGGGCAGCAGCCCCAGGCGGTCAGCGCAGAGTTGCTTGTGCGTACACACCTTGGCACACCTTGGCACACCTTGGCACACACTTTCTCACCTATTTGGATGGAGGAGGGCATAGCATGTTGCAGCAGCAGCACGAAGCGGAACATCTTGTCGCCTGGGGGCAGCAGCCCCAGGCGGTCGGCACAGAGCACGATGGCAATGCCCATCAGCGGCACCACCAGCAGCCGCGTCACCACCACCGCTAGTGTCGTGCGCATTGGTAGTGCTGACGCCCCCGGGCCTGTAGGATGGGCGTGGGTGTATTTTGAGTTGAAAAGGAGAGAGGAGAGGGCAATGCCCAGCAGCGGAACTTGAAGCAGCCGCGTCACCACCACCGCTAGTGTCGTGCGCATCGGCAGTGCTGACGCCCCGGGACCTGCACGGCAGGGCGTGGGTGAATTTCGAGTTGATACAAGGGAGAGGAGAGGGCAATGCGGGCAGGGCGTGGGTGGTGGAGGGATGCATGAGGGAGCCCGATGCATCTGCGTGTTCCAGATAGCATGCTGGTACAGGCGTTGCTGGCCAATCCAATAGACGCACTCTGACCCAACAATGACTTGCCTACTAGCAATCCCAGCAAAAGCCAGCAGATTGAAACACCACCACAGCAGCTCAGCAAAGCAAGTGGGCACCGCACTACTGCACTAGTGCACTGACCCTTGACGAGGTTGGCGCCGAGAACCAGCAGAATGCATGGAATCATGGCCTGGCTGTGGGCGAGGGGAGACACGCACATGGCAGAGGAGCGAGAGAGAGAGAGAGAGAGAGAGAGAGAGAGAGAGAGAGAGAGAGAGAGAGAGAGAGAGAGAGAGAGAGAGAGAGAGAGAGAGAGAGAGAGAGAGAGAGAGAGAGAGAGAGAGAGAGAGAGGATAGAGGAAGGGACAGAATCGGATCACATGTGTTGGCCCAAGCAAGAGATGGTGGCAGTGTGAGCAGCAACACTGACGTGTGCAGGAAATTGCCCCAGCACTCACCCCAGCACTCACCCCAGCACGGCGAGGGCGTCAGTGAGGAAGCGCAGAGCGCCGTCGCGGTGGAAGAAGAGAAAGTCCAGCTGCGGTACCATGCCCAGTAGCATCGCGAGGCACTGCATGTAGGTGCAGGGAGGTAGGTAGGGGGAATGGGTGAGATGGGGGAGTTAGGAGAAGGTGAAGTGCAGCGCCCCGTCGCGGTGGAAAAAGAGGAAGTCAAGCTGCGACACCATGCCCAACAGCATTGCCAGACACTGGGGGAAGGGCGGGGGGTTGGGAGAATGAAGAGTGGGGCGGATGGGAGGAGATGAGGGCAATGGGTGACACGCAAGATCCCCGTTGCAGTGGAAGAAAAGGAAGTCCTGCTGCAGCACCATGCCCAGTAGCATTGCCAGACACTGCCCGGGCGGTGCAGGGTGGGAGGGCGGGGGTGTGAAAGAGTGGGGCGACGGGGAGGGATGGGGGAGTTAGGAAAACGTGACATGCAAGGGTTGTGGTGCGGTGGAAGAGGAGGAAGTCCAGCTGAAGCACAGCACCATGCCCAGTAGCATCACCCGACATTCCCGGGCACTAGAGGGATAGGGGACTGGGAGAGAAGAGAGATAGGGGACCACGAAAGATGAGGGGATGGAGGGATATGGGGGAAATTGGGGAAGGAGGAAGCGCATGGGCAGAGATGGAGGAAAGGAGGTAAAAAAGGTAATGGAGCTGGAATGTCCACTGTGCAAAAGGGTAGTAGCGGTGGCAGGCAAAGGCAGGAGTCAATTCACATGTGAAGTACAGAACATGCACAGCCCACCCCGCATAGCACTGCTTCTTGTGGAGTTCCCCCAACTTGATGAACGGGCAATCATGCAATCATGGGGCTAACTCAGCAACAGAAAGAAGCATGGTAAGGCAGCAAGAGAAGTGATTCGGCCTGGCCGGGTAAGGGGATGGGTTAAGAAAAGGAGTGGTTAAGAATGGTGGGAGTTGATAAAGGGTTGAGATGAGAAAGGGGATGGGGATGGGTTAATTCATCCCCTTTCTCAACTCTCACCATTCGGCCAGGCCCGGGCTGCCGGCCAGCCCGAACCAATTCGGCCTGGCTGGGTAAGGCAGGGAGGGACGTACCGCAGCAAGTACAGGCGGGCGGAAGACATCGTAAATGTGGAGCGCCTTGAGCACCTCTCCCAGCTGCCATGCATGCACACATGCACACATGCACACACGCACACACGCACACACACACACACACGCACACACACACACACGCACGCACGCACACACGCACGCACGCACGCTCACACACACGCATGCACGCACGCACGCACGCACGCACGCACGCACGCACGCACGCACACACGCACGCGCACACGCACGCACGCATGCAGGCACACACACACACATACTCACTCAAGCACGCATGCAAGCCCGCACACACACAAAGAGGGGAGGGAGCACAGGGAACGAGGCAAGGAGTAGATTGGAGACCTGCAACCACCCCTTGGAGATGGATGCGGGAGCAAAGGGAACGAGGAGAGGCATGTGACAAGTGCACATGTAAGGGCGGAACGTGTGGCGCGCAACTCTGCAGTGCAGCGCACACTATGCTGATGCATTTGCATCTGCCTAACCTAACCCACATCACAGCCTGCTGCGGCAGCTCCTGGCTGCTCACCGTGTTGGGAGCGCGCACGAGCAGTGCCACGGACGCCTTGCGCAGCGACCGGGATGCCGTGCGAGCCACGCTGCTGCCAAGGCTGCCACCACCAAACACACGCCCACCTCGCACCGACCCCTCACTGCGCTGCTGCTGCCCTGCCTCCATCCCCCCCGCACTGCCCAGCCGCGGCACCCCTGCCCCACCTGCTGCTGCTGGTGAACCTGCTAGCAGCGGCGCATGCAGACCCGCAGTGCCATCAGCAGCAGCGCCAGCAGCACCGCCTCCGCTAGCAGCAGCAGCAGCAGCATGGTGGTGCGCACGCTTGCCTTCCCCGGGCACCAGCGGGCGTGACGACACGGCCTCCACGCCCACTCCCAGCGCCGCCTCCCACCCCCCCGGCACCTCCCACCCCTCCTCACCCCCCTCCCCGTCGTCAGTGTCACTGTCACTTTCCTCCTCCTGGTACGGCACCATGGGCGCATCGACGTACTTGTGGTCGATGCCGAAATGGTCCAAGGGTCGTACGTAACCTGGCAACCACTCCTCGGGGGGCGCGAGGATGTTATAGACCGTGCTCCACATCACTATGGCCGCCATCTGCATCAAGATGCGTATAGCATAGCCACGTACAAAAACAGATGATGTTGCTTTTGAATGCCATACTGTGCCAATGCACATGCCCAATGCATGCATGTCCATGCGCACACCCACATGCACACATGCACACACGCACACATGCACACATGCACACATGCACACATGCACACATGCACACATGCAGAGTGAGATGTAGGTGGTGCCGACACTACCATCATGCTTACGTACGCAGCCCCAGGTAACACCCACGCACCCCCATCCCCCATGCATGCACTCCCATCCCCCATGCACGCACCCACATACCCCCATGCGCGCACCCACATGCCCCCATGCGCGCACCCACATGCCCCCATGCGCACACCCACATGCCCCCATGCGCACACCCACATGCCCCCATGCGCGCACCCACATGCCCCCATGAGCGCACCCACATGCCCCCATGCGCGCACCCACATGCCCCCATGCGCGCACCCACATGCCCCCATGCGCGCACCCACGTGCCCCCATGCGCGCACCCACATGCCCCCATGCGCGCACCCACATGCCCCCATGCGCGCACCCACATGCCCCCATGCGCGCACCCACATGCCCCCATGCGCGCACCCACATGCCCCCATGCGCGCACCCACATGCCCCCATGCACGCACCCACATGCCCCCATGCATGCACCCACATGCCCCCATGCACGCACCCACATGCCCCCATGCGCACACCCACATGCACGGATGCATGCATTCAACCACACACCCCCATATGTTACACTCGTTGTGGCCGCCAAATTTACGATTATGCCTACGCACGCACCTCCACATGAACATCCATGCACCAACATGCACACACGCAGGCATGCACCCCCCATACACCCATACGATACACGCACCCACATGCCGAGCGAGATGTAGGCGGTGCCGAGCTTGTTGCACTCGTTGTGGCCGCCAAAGGGGTTGCGCGCATCGGAGCACACCGCCGACAGCAGCACCAACGGCATGTTGCCCATGTTGCCTGGACGAAGGGAGGAGGGGGTTGGCCAAGAGACGAGGGGGAAGAGGGGAGGGGAGAAGAGAAGGGAGCAAGAGGAGTGGCGAGTCACATGTTGCTCATCTTGACTGGGGGGGCGGAGGAGCATGGAGGTAGGACATACGGGAGGGCGAATGGGAGGGCGGAAGCAGGTGCTAATGGGAGGGCGGAAGCTTGTGCGCATGGAAGGGAGGAAGCGGGAGGGCATGGGAGGGGGCATGGGTGGGCATGGTAGGGGGCATGGGTGGGTACGGGAGGGGGCATGGGTGGGTATGGGAGGGGGCATGGGTGGTTTGAGTTGAGACGCTTGACAGAGCATATGGGTGAACTGTCAATCATGTGTGTGAGGGCGCTTGGGGAAGAGAGGAGCAGAGAAGGGAGCACGAAGGCACATGCAGGTGAAGTGAAGAGGCACAAGTTGGGGCGGAGTGGGGGGCAGAACCTGACCAATGCCTGTGAGGACTGACCAATGCCTGTGAGGACTGACCAATGCCTGTGAGGACTGACCAATGCCTGTGAGGACTGACCAATGCCTGTGAGGACTGACCAATGCCTGTGAGGACTGACCAATGCCTGTAAGGACTGACCAATGCCTGTGAGGACTGACCAATGCCTGTGAGGACTGACCAATGCCTGTGAGGACTGACCAATGCCTGTGAGGACTGACCAATGCCTGTGAGGACTGACCAATGCCTGTGAGGACTGACCAATGCCTGTGAGGACTGACCAATGCCTGTGAGGACTGACCAATGCCTGTGAGGACTGACCAATGCCTGTGAGGACTGACCAATGCCTGTGAGGACTGACCAATGCCTGTGAGGACTGACCAATGCCTGTGAGGACTGACCAATGCCTGTGAGGACTGACCAATGCCTGTGAGGACTGACCAATGCCTGTGAGGACTGACCAATGCCTGTGAGGACTGACCAATGCCTGTGAGGACTGACCAATGCCTGTGAGGACTGACCAATGCCTGTGAGGACTGACCAATGCCTGTGAGGACTGACCAATGCCTGTGAGGACGAAGACGAGGCGGAAGAACTCGGGAGGGCAGTCGGTGAGCCACGCCACGAGCATGCCGAGCACACAGCCCAGCACCGACGCCAGCACCACGTTCACCGGTATGAACCACCTGCGGAGGGGGTGGGACAAGGGGGAGTGTGTGTGGGTGGGGGGGTTGAGGGGGGTTTTTTGTGACGCCTCAAAAAGCCATGCCTCCAGCATGCCTAGCACACAGCCCAGCACGGACGACAACACCACGTTCACCGGTATGAACCACCTGCAGGGGAGAGGGAGGGAGAGGGGGGTGGGGAGTGGTGGCGGAGGGAGGGAGGTGTGATTGTGTGGTGCCGTGGTTCACGTGTGAAGTGAAGTGCATGAGGCGAGTGGTGGAAATCACAATGCAACGCAATGTATGACTCCACGGGAGCGCAGGATGGAGGTCAACGAGCGGGTGGCGACTTAGGAGGCGCGGGAGTGCAGGGATGTTATTATTGTTTGCAAATATACACCCCAAAAGCGCATACAGCATTGACAGTCGTAACTGGTGCAGGGATGTGGATGGCAAGCTAACAAGTGAGGCGATAAGTGAGGCGATTAAGGGAGGTAGCAAAACAAGTTGGAGGTTGAGCAGCAACCTGGTTGCAGAATCTCGCCGTTAAGAACAGAGCAGGTGACCATCTGAGGCGGTTACCATCCGAGGCGATCACCATGGAAGGGGGGTTACCACGCAAGGGGGTTACCATGGAAAGGGGTTTCATGGAAAAGGGTTAACATGGAAGGGGGTTACCATGGAAAAGGGTTAACATGGAAGGGGGTTACCATCTGAGGTGGTTACCATCTGAGGTAAAGTGGTTACCATCTGAGTTGGTTACCATCTGAGGTAAAGTGGTTACCATCTGAGTTGGTTACCATCTGAGGTAGCGTGGTTATCATCTGAGGTAGCGTGGTTACCATTTGAGGAGGTTTTCAAAGGAGATGGCTTCGCCAAGGTTGACGAAGATGATGGCTGGCAGGAACACCGTGAACACCAGCTGGGGGAGGGCGGGGAGGGCAGACAGCACTAGGGGTGGAAAGAATGGGCGGCATCATCAGATGGCACGAATGGGGACAGAGGAGGATGGTGGCGGAGTGTGAAGCACGCCAGGAAGCACAGGCAGGCAGGCATGCTTCTCCTAACATAGATGGTCAAAATGTGGGCGTGTGAGGAGACGCCGCTTTGCATCTCCGGTTCACACAAAGTCTCAGCGCTGCCAGCAATGCTCCCTGGGCTGCCCTCAACCACCTTCTCCGCCCCTCTCTGTGCCCGCCTCTCTCTCCTCCACCTCTCCTCCACCTCTCGCCTCTCCTCCACCTCTCGACTCTCCTCCACCTCTCGCCTCTCCTCCACCTCTCGCCTCTCTGCCATGGCAGTCCGCTCCGTCATTCCATCCCTTTCTTCTCCGCTCCACATTCCTCCCGCCTCCTCTCCACACCCTTTTCCCCGACCACCTCCTCCAAATGGCCTAACAGCGCCCTATTCTCCCCCTCCCAACCAAACGCCCCACCCCCAACGTTTCAACCCCAACGCCCCACCCCCAGCGCTCTACGCCTGCGGCGCGCCTTCCTCCGCTTCTGCGCTCGGCGCGGCTAGAACAGGAAGCGCGGCGAGAACGGGGGGCGCGTGGACGAGGCCGCCGACGGCGACGGCGACCAGTGGCTTTAATGCCCTGCTCCACCCCACTACTCCAGCGCCCTGCCGCAGCGCAATTTTTTGCGATTTGCCCCGGCGCCCTGCCCCAGCGCCCTGCCCAGCACCCCATCGTAGTTCACTGGCCCCGCACTCTGCCCCAGCGCACGGGCGCACCTCTCTGATGCTCTGCGCGCACCGCACCTTACTGAGACTCTTGCGCGCGTCGGCGTGCAGGACGTCGAAGTAGGGCAGCGCGAAGATGAGCCCGGTGGCGGCGATGAGCAGCACCTTCACCACCGGCAGCACCGAGCTCATCACCAGGAAACTCAGCGGCAGCGCCGCCGCCTGCAGCGCCTCATGCACCTCGCTCCCCGCCATCGCCGATATCGCGATCGGACGGGAACGGAACACAAGTATCTAACGAATTACTACTACAGCAACAGGAAATGGCGAGACGGGTGGGGTTGGAACGGGGTCGAATGGTATTTCAGTCTGATCGCCGGGTTGCGCGTGCTGTCCGCGCGCTCTCGCGGCGGGACTCAGCTCCACACGCGGCGAGCCGCCGGGCCCGCTGGTCGCCCCCCGGGAGGGCGCTTGCGGATGCGCGACGCGGTCGTGGCGGACATGCGACGGGAGGTTCAGGTGTACACGATATTTTATTCGAGTCTGATCGCCGGGCTGCGGCGCGTGCTGTGCGCTATGCGTTCGAACACAGCCGCATCCATAAAGCGAGAGGCTGCTAGAGACTAATCTGGAATGTGGGGGTGACGATGCGGTAGCTACTAGTCCTTCCACTCATCTCATCGGGTAGTAGCAACTAGTCCTCGCGCAAGCGGGCCCGTCAGGCACAACAAGGTTTACAGCTAGTTTGACAAAGGGCTCAAAGGTTGAGGTTAGAATGTTTTGTAAAGGGTTGGAAGCAATGCGATGCGATCATTTGAGTCTGGGGTGGTAGCCGATGTCGCATGGTAGGTTGGTCCGCTTCGCACAGAGGTTCTCGTGGGAATTCTGGGGGATAGCCTCGATTGGTAGGCTAAACCAAGCACAAGTCTCTCAATTATAACCAATCGCGGAACAAGAACCAAACGCTTACGGATGGCAGCCAATCTCGTCAAGGCGCGTGTACATCACTTGTTCAGCGACCCTATTGTGCGACGAAGGCCTGCCCCGAGCTTGTTGGTTCGCCTTGGGAAAACCGAAAAGAATACTGTACAGAAAACTCCCTAGGGCGCGTAACCATTTTGTATTTTGTGATTTTGACGGACAGTCCGCTTAAAACGAAGCGGACGGTCCACTTACTGAAAACGGGACCGTCCGAAGTGAAAATTTGCAACTTCGGACTGTCCGAAGGCAGTTGTGACACTTTTCTTCTATTGTACAGTTTCGCGACAATTGTACAAGCGTTACGGGATTTGCGATTTTCATGTTTTTCGTTGTCGAATCATTGTTCTAAGCGAGTTGTCTCTTGTTGGTCAATGTACATTTGCGAAATCTCACCACATGTTTTTGTTGGTGGACGAGATGCCTGATAATTTTTACATCGTGCACCAATCGGATGCAAGGGGATTCGGACAGTCCGTTTGAGATTCGGACTGTCCACGGTTCAGATTTCGGACCGTAGAAAATGGGAAAAAGTGTCACTACTGTCCGTTTTGTTGGCGATGTCGTCAACACCTTAACGAACACAATTACGACGTAACGTGAAAACTGTTACCTTTTCGCCACCCGGACGGTCCACGGTTCGAACCGTCGGGTGCAAATTGGTTACGCGCCCTTAGGACGGGTCCAGCGCGTTCGTATTTGTTCGTTCTGTGCGGTTACATTCGAAGCTTGACAACCGTTGTGCAACGTTTTGAAACGTCTTGCGCCACGACGGATGAACTGTAAACGAAGGCGCTGGTTTTGTGATTTTTTCGTACCTCTTGCCGAACCTAGCACCATCGTGGGGGAAGGAAGCAACGAACCGGAAAAGGCACCGAATTGTAACATCGATTTGAGCTGTTCTTGAATGACAGCGCATCACGAGCTTCCCCCGAATTATTCCACCCGTGCAATTCATTCGAACCAATCACCACCTGAATCATGGGCTCCCCGCCAATCTCTTCAGTCGCACACATGTCATTCCCAACATGTTAGGGGATGATGTCGGCGTCGCAACTCACTCGAGCCAAGCCCAGTGTCGCATGTCGCACTCGTATAATTCAAGTTAAATGGTTCCTAGCACGACGCACTGAAACCAAGCAGTACATTATATGTGGCACATATAATGCATGATATAAATCGTGCTCCGAGCTTCGGAGCTAAGATGGCGCGGCGCCTGTCATGCGAGGCTCGCTCTCTTAACTCGCGATATAAGTCACCAGCTCAGCGCGGTCCTTCATTCCGCATTTTGCACTGGACTGTCATTCATTCCACCCATCGTCTCGCTTGATGATTGCAACCCTAATCTTACCGCTGAACTCCACACGCTCCTCTGTTGCGCCTCTTCTCTCGCCTCTTCTCTCGCCTCTTCTCTCGCCTCTTCCCTCGCCACTTCCCTCGCCTCTTCCCTCCCCACTTCTGCCGCCTCTCCCGCGGGAGCCTCGTCGTCATCATCATGGGGTCGATGCGCGCCTCTCCTGCCGGACTCCTGCTGCTCGCCATTGCCCTCATCGCAGGTCAGTCTGCTTCTCATTGCCTTCTCCCATTGATTCAACATATATTGCTAGTTGCCTTGATCCGGCGTAAGCTCTTAGAACCGTGCCTTTCTTCCGAGTAATCCCTCCTTCCTGCTCGCTGTTCTCGACCTCTTGCATACCTCGATCCTCTCCTTTGTCTTCCCTCTCTTCTCCCTCATATCTTCCTTCTCTCTCTTCTCTGCACTCCCTCTCCCTTGTCCTCTGCAGCAGTTCAGATGATGAAGGCAGCAAATGGTGACGACACGGTGAAACGGATGACACACCGTAGCATGCTGCGGAGCACGCTGAAAGGCGCGAACGGCGAAGGCATGGAGGAAGGAAGGATGGTCAATGCGAGTTGCGCAGGAGATTACCGCCAGTGGTACGTTGAGTGGGCATGGTTCTGAAGAGAGGGATTCTCAAGGCTGAGAATGGGCTGCATTTCTCTCAAGGGCAATCTCCCTTTCGGCGGATCTCAGTACAGTTCTCGTTTCGCTGCCCTTATGGCTTGTGTCTGCCATGCGCGCAGTTCTCGTTCCGATGCCCTTATGGCTTCCAGATTACCATGTTCTTGTCTCTTGCCACTTTCGCTTCGCCTCTGCTGCAGATCCTGCCTGTGCGGCGTTGGGCTGTGAGCCTGTTGGCGGCAAATGCGACGTGGACACAAATGGAGAGCGCTACTGCAAGTGGGGTGAGTGCACAATGCTCGCTTTTCTGCTGCCCTACCTCCTCTCCCTCTCACTTCTCTGGAACTCCACTCCTCTACCTGCAATCTCCACTCCGCTGCACTCTCACCCACCCCCCATACATGCTTATCCCACCGTCTCTCTGCTCTGTTTCTCTTCTCCCTCATCTCCTCTGCCTTGCTTCCCCCCTCTGCCTCGCGTCCCCACTCTGCCTCGCGTCCCCACTCTGCCTCGCGTCCCCACTCTGCCTCGCTTCCCCCCTCTGCCTCTCTTCCCCCTCTGCCTTGCTTCCTCCCTCCGCCTTGCTTATTCCTCTGCCCTGCGTCTCCCTTGTTTGCCAATCCCCTCTCACGTACCACACTGCACTCATTCCCAACCCTCAGCCTCACCTTGTGGCTCGTGCCCCGAGGGAGCCACCTGCAAAAATTACCTGAAGCCAAGCACAAACGAGCTCATTCCTTACTGTTCGTGCCCTAGCGGGTATGGGATGACCGAGACCAGCTGTGTTCAAGGTGAGCTTCCTTCATGCATGCCCTCCTCACCCGGCCCGCTCGCTCCTCTCACACTCACCGCACTCTTTGCTTCTCCTTTCTCGCTCTGCCAAGTTGGCTGAACTGCTGATGCTTGTGGGAGTGTGGCAATGCATGCGCAAATGTATATACGTTCTTCCTTTGTGCTTAGTCCTTAGGCAAGGGTGACAACACTGCGCTGAGTGCTTCCTTTGTGCCCCTCTTTATCAGGTGGAGCTCCCACCGTCTCTTCCTTCAGCTACACATTCATCAAGAACGAAACAGCCAAGGACGCGTCTTCTCGACCCTGGACCTTTCGCCTCAACCCGAATGGGTGCACTCAAATTCCGGCTGCAGTGGCTGGCACGGTCACATCATACTATGACCTTCAAAACATTGGCGATGCTCCAGCTTGCCGCAAGGTTGCTTACTACGTTGCAGATAAATGCGAAGGCAAAATCGATATCACAAGCTCCTCACGCGTTCAAATCCCGTTTCTTGGATCATATGTTCCAAACCCGCTGTGAGTGATTGATCATGTTCCACCTGCACCGCAAGTGATTGCTTGTGTTCCACCTGCACCGCGAGTGATTGCTTGTGTTCCACCTGCACCGCGAGTGATTGCTTGTGTTCCACCTTCACCGCGAGTGATTTCTTGTGTTCCACCTGCACCGCGAGTGATTGCTTGTGTTCCACCTGCACCGCGAGTGATTGCTTGTGTTCCACCTGCACCGCGAGTGATTGCTTGTGTTCCACCTGCACCGCGAGTGATTGCTTGTGTTCCACCTGCACCGCGAGTGATTGCTTGTGTTCCACCTTCACCGCGAGTGATTTCTTGTGTTCCACCTGCACCGCGAGTGATTGCTTGTGTTCCACCTGCACCGCGAGTGATTGGTTGTGTTCCACCTGCACCGCGAGTGGTTGCTTGTGTTCCACCTGCACCGCGAGTGATTGCTTGTGTTCCACCTGCACCGCGAGTGATTGCTTGTGTTCCACCTGCACCGCGAGTGATTGCTTGTGTTCCACCTGCACCGCGAGTGATTGCTTGTGTTCCACCTGCAAGACTTCACAGCTTCTCCTCTTCATGCTCTTCACTAATCATAAAAGGTGGTACCTTGTGGGTCATCCTACCCATTTTGTCCTCCCCTTGTTACCTTTGATCAGGGGCATGCAGGTTCCTGGCTCAATTCTGTGCACTCCGTAGGATGGCTCCAGATGGCACCACTGACTATGTTGTCATGTGCACATGCTTCAACCTGGATGGCTTCTCCCCTCCGATCTATGAGACCTCTCCTCCCTTCCAATCAACAAAAACTTTCTCCCTTCCATGCAAACGAGACGGGGTGCAGAGTGTTTGTACCAACCATTGCACCTGCCCCAGGGACGTCTGCTTGGGAAACCTTTGTAGAGCTGTACCATGTGTTTCAAAGGTCTAAACTGTATTCTTTTGCTGTCTCTAGTTGAAGTCTGATTCAAACGTGGTCCTGGGTTTGCAGAAACACACCCTTGCTACATCACAATCACACAAACCACAAGGGGGGGAGAGAGGGAGGGGGGGTCTCTCTGAGTTGTAACCAAATGGTGTAATCTAACGACCAGTAGGAGGATCACATACGGTAATCCGGATCTTATGGTTGTGCCACTACTGTAGAGCTGGTCAGGCACCCAAGCTGCATTACAGAGTTCTAATAGGCTAGCGTTGTTGGCTGCATGCAAACACTGAGTAGACACAGAGGGTAGGGGGGGTTACAGGTAGGGAGGGAAAACATTGCTTTGAGGTGCCAACCAATCCAGTATTTATGGTATTACAAAGTCCCAATCCAGTAGAGGTACTCAGGCACACAAGCTCCCCTCCACCCCCACTACTATCCATCATGTGCCACACCGCCCTCCTTACCACTCCTCAGCTCAGCATCCCTATGAACCGAGCTCCAATGTTCGCCGTGCCTCCTCCTGCAGCTCCTTCGATCTTCACTCCCTCATTCACACTATCCATACCACCACCACCCTTACTCGTCCGAGTCACATTCGCATGACCACCGGCACCCGCACGCCCATTCGTCCCTTCCCTGCCCCCCAATCCTCCTACTCTCCTCTGTCTCTCACTCTTCCCCTCTCTCCACCTTCCCTTCTCTCTGCCTTCCCCGTTAATTCTGCGAGCAAGGATGGCGATACAATCCGGCTTGTGTATTAATATATATATATATATAATTCGTGTGTAATGTCCTTGCTCTTTGACATAAGGAAATGCGGGGGGTGCAATGAGAAGTGAGAAGAAAGGAAAACGGATGAAAAGAGAGGAGAGAGGGCAAGATGAAAAAAGAATCAGGGAAGTCCAACGCTTTTGTTATCCCTGTACCTCCTCGAATCCGAAACAAGTCAATCATCTTCTTTCATGCGCTCAGCCATCCATTATCGATGGAATCTGGCATCTTCTGGAATGTAGCTCCCATATTCTTGAGACCCCATCGGGCCATCCTTATTCTGTGGCCTCTTTTGACGCCTAAGGCTTGTCGGGGTCTCCTCCACCTCTAATGAAGCAGCATCGCTTGCTGTCTCTGGGGAGAACAGGTTGCCCGCCACCACAACACGAATATCCCGCACAACATGATGCGGTAACTCCGTGTCAGAATGAGAGAACAATGGAATGATGGCTGAGAACAACGAATGAGTACAAGTACTAACCCTAATGGGTTGTACCCTCTATGGGCTACCCCACTACAGCCCAGACAACAAATGCATACAGTTTTGACACACCCCCATAGGCAAAGTGGGGGACAGCAAGAACAACAAGCGGTCACAAGACCAGTCAAGAGAAGAAGCAAAGCTCAGGGTGGATCACAAAGTCACCACACAGCCTGAGCACAAGGCCAGTTTACATGCAGAGTTATGAAGAGCACACGCAGTACAATGATTCCAACCTAGCAAGAGTAAGTATGGAAAGTATATATATAGATCACAGTACAAGGCAAAGTCAAGAAGTAAGCAAATGCACAAAGCCTAGAGTAGTATAGAAACGTTTATGATCACTAGACCCAAGGGCCTTGGTGAAGGTATCAGCTGTGAGGCAACGTAAGCAAGACGGAGTTGACCACGCTGCTGTAGCTCTCGAGCAAGGAAGTAACAAAGAGCAATGTGCTTCGTTCTTTGCTCCAGCCTCTGCTCCCGAGATAAGGCAATCATGGCCTTGTTGTCGACGCACAGGACCGGAGGAGAACAAGGCCGCTCACCCAAGTCCGTCAACAAGTAGGTCAGCCAGCGTAACTCCTGTGCAGCCATGGCCCCTGCATAGATCTCAGCCTCACAACTGGAGCTGAGAACTGAAGACAAGCGGGTGGACCTCTAGGAGACAGAACCAGAGCCGAGACTGAAATTGTAACCCTGTGACGACCACTTAGTCTCCTTGTCGTCAGCCCAAGAAATGTCTAAGTGCCCATTGAGAACAACAGGACCCCGTCCTCCAAGCACAAGCCCCATGCCTGATGTACTGCACAAGTAACGCAGTACCCTCTGCGCAGCTGTCCAGTGTTCTTTCCGGTGACTATCGGGAGCAACGAAGCGGGCCAGGATGCTGAGAGGGTACGCGAGGTCATAAAGTACAGGAGGCAACCCACAAGCTCTGGACATTGACTACTCGGCTCTACGGACTCGTCCGAAGGTAGAGCTGAGAGCGAGTGCGTAGGCAAAAGAGTGGGCTGTGGCAAGAAGAACCAAAAGCCGAAGCGCTGAAGGACCTGCTGCACCATGTGTGACTGAGTCAGAGTGATGGTGCACCTTGCTCCCTCCTGGGTAATCTGCAAGCCAATATAGTTGCGCAGCTCACCCACGTCAGTGCAAGTGTGACTCTTCTGCTGTTCCGCCTTCGCAAGGGCCAGTGCCTTAGTGTCGACGTACACGAGGATGTAGAACGGCGGCAGTGAAGTGTCGGTGCGCAGAAACAACGACGGGTCAGCAGTCGAAGGAGCAAACCCAAGAGCTGCAAGTATATTCCTCAATGTTTTGTGCCACTCGGGGGACGCCTGGCGGAGACCGTAGACTGGCCACCGGAGGCTCCACTGGGTACCCTCAGGAAACGACCTAGTGAAGCCAGATGGGCGGTGCATCTAGATCTCCTTGTGAAGGTTGCCCTGCAGGAAGACTATGGAGAAATGAAGCGAGTGGAGCTCGTAATCATGCCGTGCTACAACAGGCAGTAACACCCAAAGAATGGTCACCTCCCTGTCAGCCTCGTGCAACGTGACACGCCTTGTAGACCGACGGAGAACCCGGCAATCGCTTCACCCTGGATATCCACATGCCATCGTTTATGTTCGCCCAAGGAGGGGGTGTTGTGTCGACGTAAGTGCCTGTGGACTTCCAGGATGTCATCTCTGCGTCCATGGGTGTCCGCCACTGAGAGGAGTAAGGGCCCGTAATCGCCTCAGCATAAGAGCGTGGGGTCGGGATGTCTAGTGCATCTGGGTCTCCCTCAAGGCAAAGCAGCATGGAAGCAAGATGATGTACAGTAGCCGCGAGACGCTCGAGCTCAAACTGCCTGTCCTCAAGGACGTCACTGCCAAGAGCAAGCTCACCCCTGACGGGCGGAGGACATTTAGACTCAGGCTCAGAAATAAGACTCGCGAAGTTGTCAAGACGTCAGGCAGCATCAAAGTCAACTAGCTCAGTGACTAAGGGAGACGAAACAGTGGTCTCAAAGGTAGGGTCGGTGATAAGGGTGGCAAAAAAACTAGTGACAGTCGGATGAGCAGCACGATTAAGGTCAGACTCAAAGGCAAGAACGTCAGAAAGAGAGGACACTAGATGAGACGGCAGGGAAACACGCTGTGGAACAGAGGAAGGACGACGCACCATAGGTGTGTGCTGGAAACAGGTGGAGGACGAACACGACGAGCCTGACGAGAAGTGCGAACACAGGAGGCAGAACGAGGCTCAGGCTCAGTGTAAGGAGGAGTTGGCAGTGGGGAGCCAGGAGGTACTGGTGGCTGTGACTTGTCAAGCGGAGGACAGAGTAGGGAAAGAGTAAGGCTAGTGGAGGAAGAGAAGACTGAGAACCTGGCAAAGCACCGAGCCAAGTGGTGGCAGCGACGACTCCGGCTGAGGCTAGAAGAACCCCACCACTGCACGGGTTGTGCAACACCCCCAACACTAGAACCTCCGGTACCCTTGGCTCCAGTACCTCCAGCACCACCAGCAGCAATGATTTCAGCTCCATCACCTCCAGTACCAGCAGTCCCAGCCCCAATACCTCTACTTTCTGTACCTCCAGCTCGTGTGTGTCCTGCTCTAGTACCTCCAGCAACAACAGCCTCAGCACCTTCTGCTCTAGTACCTCCAGCGCCTCCAGCTCTAGAGTAAGCGACTTTAGGCTCAGTACCTCCAGTGGCAGCACTTGTGAAGATTGAATGAATTGGTTAAAAAATGATTGATTGATCACTTGGGTACAACACGAGGCTTTATATAGGCTCGACACAAAGGCAGTAACCCGGGTGTTACTAGAAGGTTCCGTGGGTCGCGAAGCGTCCTGAACAAGTCTTTCCCGAATTCGGTAGAAGGCAACTTGGTGGCAACCCAAATGCAACAAATTCGGTGCACACTAACTGTCAACAGGAGTTGTTGGCCCCATCCTTGGTTGGGCGGAGCCGACTTCGTGGTCGGATGAGCAGTAGGTACAGGCGACCTACTACAGTGGGCGAGGTTGACTTGGCGGGCTGGTCAACAGGGTTGAGTCGACCTGCACGGGGCCACTGTGTAGCTGCCGACGATGGGAAATCGGCGACCGTGGTCGACGAGGGAAGGGGCGCCGAATTCGGAGGGCGCCGAGGTCAAACTGGGTGTGGCGCCGACTTGGGGGGCGCCGAGTTCGGGTGGTCGACCTGGTGAGGTCGACCTAGGAGGACGCCGACTTCGTGGCGTTGACTCTAAGGGCGCCGACTTCATGGCGCCGACTTTGAGGACGCCGGCTTGGTGTAGTCGGCGACTGACCAGCCTGGTCAACTGGAGGTGGTAGCCCGGACGACCGAGTTACCCGGGCGACGAGGTTTTGCGGGATGCGCGACGGTCGCCCCGACAGTTCTGGCGAAGCCGATCCCAGCGGTAGTATCCCGAAGTCGATGTGGATATTCAGGTGTAGCCGTCAACACGAGGACAATCTGGTGTCTACGCTGTGCAGGTGACTATGCACAACACACCAATCATCTGCGAGCA